AAAACCATTTTTGCAGTCAGTGAAAAATAAGACTAAATGTTCTCTATGGTTGTAGGTAGCCTCACAGTGAATGAAAGGCCTCTGTGCTCTGCTTTTTTTTTTTTCCATCTAAGTGAGTGACAAAAGTAGTGCTGAGCTTGAAGGGAAGAAGGGTCAAACATTTGTTATTCCCTTGCCACTCAGAGGAGCAAAAACATTGGTGTCTAGAAATCAGGTAGCATTTGCTTGACATTTCTGTAAATCAGTTCTACTCAGTAGTTTGGTCTCATTTGGTTTTCTTTTTCTTTTACTTTTCTAGAGGAGAGTATGTTGTGCCCCAAGTCAGATAGTACTTTTCGAAAAGTACTTCCTCACTGAACTTTCTGAATAACTTAGAAATTTGTAGTTAACTGAAACAAACCAGGCTGAAAAATAGTAATTATCCTACAGGCATTGGGTTGCTCTATAATTGGTGCTATAGTTCTACACGTTTGTTAGATTTTCCCTTCTCATAAGTCATTACCTTGGCCTCTAGTCAAATCAAACTCTACACGTTGCTTTTGTGAGCCTTGCACAGTTTATTATGGATGGACTTGCTTTTTATGGTTGTGAGAATCCATTACCCTTAACAAGTTACCTTGTTATGGCGAGACATATAGACAACTTGGTAGTCACCTGCAGCTAGTGCAGTTCATTGCAACCTTTATTAGTTTGACATCTGTGTAACTCTTCAACTCTTCTCCTTGGACAGTGAGCTCCAGGACAGTTGAACCACACTTTGTTTAAAGTTTAAAGGCTTGGTCATATTGATATCATTACCACAACCTAGAGGTCTTTTCTAATTATAAGAACAGAAGGAGGACAAGTGGCTACTTATGAGGCAGTGTATTTTTATTTCAGAATACCGATCCATTTTGTCTGTGATACAATTAAAATCTCATGGCAAACAAGTATTAAAGTTACATGTAGGTAATGGAGGTTCAAAGTGGCAGCACACTTTGTCTTGTCTGCTATCACTTAGTCTTTCCCTACATGCATCCTGTGGCAGCGGTCACTAAAAGTTGATTCTGTGGGGTTTTTTTGTTTTTGTTGTTTTATTTGTGTGGGTTTGTTGTTGCTTAGTTCTTTTTTTGGGGGGAAAGTATTTGAGGGAGGTATATTTTTCTGAAAAACAAACCATCTCATTTTGCAACCATCTGCTTGTTCTCAGCAACACAGATGAGCGCGGTTCTTGTCAATGGTTACATTTTTAACGTTATACAAAGGTCAAATGTTCTTGCCCTTTTAAAATACTTGTAGAAATATTTTATTATTACTATTATTATTATTACATGTTAGAACCCACTGTATTATATAATGGGGTTAGTCAGGTTTAACCACACTGTCTGTACATAAGTGATAGGACGTATTTTTTCCTACTCCAGATCATGTTTCATGTTTAGGGGGTATGATTTTGTACTCAGGAATGTGATTTGCCTCATACTAACCACAAGTCCTGATGGCTATTGTTGGCCTGGTTACATGTGAAAAGTTAGGGAAAAGCCTGCAGGATTGGGACACATTTCAGAATACAACCGTGCAGATTTTTCATGCTCTTTTCCAACAGATTTTATCAGAGAAATATATATTATTCCAGTGAGAGTCTCTGGTGTTTTGAGGCAAAAACCAAGTTGCTAATGTCATAACTAAACCATTTTCATAAAGTTGCAAGTGTAGTGGCAGGAACCTGTTTCTAACCAACCCACAGCTGAGTTGAGGCAGTAGTTTGTGTGTACGAATGTTCCACATGTGGTACTCAAGGCAGTTCTCCCTGGCTTTTTTATTAAATAGCAGATATAAAGTAAATGTTTGAAGTATAAGTTGACCGTATTTGAAGCATAAGAGTGATGAAAGTGATGCATTATGTCACTGTAACATATTGACATTATCAATTATGTGTTATTAAACAGCTTAGCTAACTGAATGATTTACCTTGTGTTTAACTGCCTTTTTCAATTAAAGGTAGCAAATGCTGTAGAACTGGGGCACAGTCATAGAAGCCATATATTTTCTCCTGTTAACACCAGCACTGCTGACATGCAAGTGATGGGAGTGTTGGCATTTTGCTGCAGGCTCTAATGGGCTAGTTTAAATGGTCTAAAAAAAGTGATTAATGATTAGGAACAGGACTGTTACACAGCTTCACAGCTCTTTTCCTCAATGCGTTTCCATTTATGTCAACTAGCTGCACACTTGGGAGGTGTTATTTCAAAGTAGTCAACACCGAAGGGTGTTTTTTTTTTCCTTCTGCCATTTGTTTCTGTTTCATAGGTCCCTTTGGTTGGCCAAATATAGCTAGTGCTTCCTTAAAAGTTGTAAGCTTTAGTGGTAAAGGAGGATAATCCACAGGCTTTGTATGTCTGGTGACTAAAATCTAAACTGCTGAACTCTACTGTAATTTCAGAACAGCAAATGCTGTTTTTAACACGACTCTACGTACTCCTGTTTAGTGTATTGTGTCGGAAATAATTCAAAGGTTTCTCTCAAAGTAATTGAAGCACTTCATCAACCAATATGTGATTCTCTTCTGCTTATTCACTTGATTTTGCAGCAAGCAGTAATTTGTACATTAGTACTTGCTTGTTTGTTACGAGTAACTGTCCACCCCTAATCCCTCCTTTATATACATGGATACACATATACATATATATTTGCTGTTTGTATTTGTTTGGGAACTGAGGTCAATAAACAGTATTGCAACACTTTACCTCCCTCCCCTACCAAGTAATACATAGCTGCCATTAAGTAGAAAAAACAAGTAGTTCCAAAGGAAATTAAAAACGAAGTTGGAAAACCCAGCATTTCATTCTTTTTAATGAACCTTAGGACAGTGAGATGTCTAGTAGAAATAATGCATTCTCTTTGCTCTTTTAAGCTAAAGCAGTATCAAACAGTGAAGAGTAGTGAGGACTGAACTCACAGGGAAGATACCCTGTATTTTTCAGAAGCTTATGTCACAGTGCTAAGATCTTAGAGCTCATGGTTGAAAGTTAGCATTTGCTCTTAAGTATCGTGTTGTGAACGAAGGGAAGGTATTTTCTTAGAACAGGACATTGAGTAGTATTTTAGTTGCTAGCATTTTGTCTTGGCATTGTGTTAGTGATCAAAGTATGAAGCTGTCTTAGCTGTGTACCAGATAAACCCAGTTTTCTGAAGAAGCAGCTTAAGAAGGGAGTTTATACAATAATAATTTGGGACAGATGGGATATGATTTAGGATGCAGTGGCATTGACTCCACGTATACTAAAGCCACTCTTTTGCAGAATAGATGTTATACCAAGTAGATTTGCAGCATGTGTTGGGGAGGAAGCACGGCTCAAAGGTGTCACTCTATTAGCTTGTCCTTGAATGTAGTGCTCAGGATTGTAGATTCTCTTCCTTTTTTGAATCTATTTTTAGCTAACTTTTCCTCCAAACTAAGACTTGGGCAGGCATGCTACAGGCTCCTGGTGTGTGTTTGGTCCTTCTTGGTAACTTTAACTCAGTGAGTTGACTTCAGCCATATGTAGCAGAGGGGGAAGGGTCCTTAAAAGCATTACAGTCCAACCCATTTTGTGACTAAAAGGTGTCCACTTGTAGGAGGAAGCTGCAACTCCTCATGGTAGGGAGTGTGGGCAGAGGGTTTGGTCAAACTCATGGTTTATTTAAGGCAAGGGAATCAGCCCTGGGGAGTGCAGGTGCAAACGCCACCAGTGAAATGCTATTACAGAGATGACGAACAACTACAAGCCTCATCTGTGAGAGAGAAGGCTTGGTTAGTCCTGGAGCTGACAAGCTGCTTGTTACTTCTGAGGAATTCTCCTCTCCTGCTTGTGCAGTGTGGTGTGGTATGGGTGGCGGTTGGTGGGCTGTCAGCGATTTTCTTGTCTGTATATGTATGGGCTAAAATACATGTAGTCGTTACTACAGGTGTGTAATGCTGCTTCCCTTCCTCCTCATTTAACTTATCAGTGGCTGCTTGAATGGTTCTTGGGTTGTTTAGTTGGTTTGGGTTTTTTTTAGCACATACACATTTTCTGTCTAAAAGCCCGATTTCTAGTCCACAGATGGATCAGGGGGACATCTGCTTTAGATAGTTTGAAAGAGTTACATGTTAAATTCAGGCCCCCAAAGTCCGGGCATCGTGGTGACTATTCCCAGGCATGCATAGCCTGCCACTTGTCTTTTGGAAGCGTGTGTTGAGGTTCATTACACACATTTATTCTTCAGTTTGTGCTTGTCTCGGATTCACCACTAAGATTATGTTCTGAAACGGTGACGTAAAATATATATGTATTTTCTTTTTCTTACGCATCAGTGCAGCACTTTTTCCCCTGTAGTTCATAGTAGTACTGCTTGTGGGCAGGTTTCAAAAGAATCTCATCTCCATATGGTTTTACTCGATAATCCTTTATCCACCATCTTCAGCTCTCGTTCCCTTGCCTTCTTGCCTGTGGCTACGTTTCTATCTCTGCATCAATTAGCACAGTGATTTATACAACAAGCAAGCAGTTTAGAGGTAATGGTACACAATTAACATCTCATTCCACCATAAAGGGTATGCTAAATACCCCAGTCACTGCTTTCTCTGCCTGGAATTGAAATAAGTGTTTGTCCTAATTCATATGCTATCTGATGTGAAGTGGGCCTGCTTTGTACGGCACTACACCATTAATCTAATTATAGATAGCTGCAAATGAAGTGCTGTCTGAGCACAGAGACTGAAGAAAATAGCGCTTTTGTCATTTAGCATGACTCTGTGAAGCAAGATCGCACTTTACATGGCAGCATGGCAAAATGGAGATCTGAATAATATTGCCGCCTGTTGCATCTTTTCTAATTACAACGGCGTTGTAAACACGACTGGGCGCTGATATAAATAGAGCTGTAGATACGCTGTCATGTGGGTTGGAGGAGAAAATCCTTGGTGTGCTGTTGTATTAAATGATGCATCCTGATTGACAGCTACCTTGAGACTGCGCTGATGGAGTTGTCAGAGCGAGATGCTAGCCGGCTGCTCCAGCGGCTCCAGCTGCGTCAGATGCGGCGGCAGCGGCGGCAAGGGAGGGGGAGCTTCTCCGCCCTTCCCGGTCCCCTCGCCGGGCTCGGCTGCCCCATCCCAGCTCCGAGAGAAGGACATCCCCGCGCCTTCAGCCCGCGCGGTTTCTATTCCGCCACTTCAGCCCCAGTCTGAAGTGGAGGGAAGATGGTTTTGCGCAGCTTTAACCCTTGTTAGGGTTCTCTAGAGTGTTAATTATGTATCACACAAGGAATGGAAAGTGGGAAATGTGGCTGAATTACAGTTCTAATTAAGTTGCTGCTGCTGGAGCGTGTACTGTGTGGTGGTGAGGCTTCTCTCTTTTTTTCCTTTCCCTTTTGCTCCTGCTAAAGGCTCATGATTTTTATGGCTGTTCTGTTTCTTTTTTTTTTTCCCTTTCATTTTTTCCCTTCCTCCCCTTTCCCTGTCCCCCCCTCCCTTTTATTTTTTCCCTTTTTTATTTTTTCTTTTTAATTTTTTCCTTTTTCCTTTTTTCATTTCTTCTTGGTTTTTTCCTTTTCTTTATTTTTTTTTAAAGATGTTGTTTTCTTGTTTTCTGTCTTTCTTTCTTTCTACTGTCTCTCTAGCATGTTGAGTGTTTGCTACTCCATTATTTTGTGCAGGCGTTAATGCCAGTCCTCACGGCCACCACCCTGTGGAAGTAAGTTGGCTCTAGAGCTCCAAGCTCCAGGAAAAAAGCCTCTGTGATTTGAAGAATGTCATTTATCTCCTTGCTGAGTAACAAATCCTTGACTCTGAAAGAAGGTGCTGCCTGACACCTTCAAGTAATATGGATTAGATACATTGTTTATCTGTTCATGGGCTGTGGTGGAAATCTAAACAAGGGTATGGTCATGGTGTTAAACATGTATAATGTTAATGAAAAAGGCAGCGTGTTCATTGTGCTCAGCAGAGGAACAATGCTGAGTATTGTTTTGAATGAATCCTGAGTAACATACTACTTGTGAATCTATGACATCAAACCACAGGTGACAACAGTTGAGTGACATGAGGCAGGAATGTTATAGGGAAGTAATGTGGCCACAGTTAATAAATTTCACTGATTCTGAAAATGAGACTGTGAGGTCAGTGAAAATAATGAAGACGCATGGCAGATGGTTTCTCTGCTGAAATCTGAGCTACGTAAGATTTTCACCCTTCTGACCACAAGAATGGCAGATGTTTGAAAAACATGGTTGAACATTTAGGTAGAGCATACTGAAAATCCGTATCTGGTCAGCGGTTCAAACACTGCCGTAAGTAACATATGGGTAGCGATAGACTAGGATGCTCTTATAAAAGCTGCAATGGAGTTTGAACATTTAGAGTTTCTGGGGACATGAGCTTCAGGTGTACAGGGAAGATCATATTTAATAAACTAACATGAGATGTAGCGGTGCAGTTTTGAGCATTTTTTCAATATTCTGTTGTACATGGCGAGGGAACCAGTGCGAACTACAGAACTCTTTTTTAAGCAAAGATGGGGGCAGATGTGCCCTGACCACCTTTTTCTGTAGTAGCCAGTCTGCTGCTTCCCTACTTACTTGGGGATCAGTAGGCTATAGATCTACAAAAAGCCTCCACAAAACCTAGGGGATAATTTTCACTGTATTTGCTTTCTTTCCCACCACCTTATTCATTTGCACTGCTATTATTACACCTTTTTGTTTTCTTCTTTTTTGTCACAGAGATTTGGTGTAAGAGGGTAGGTTTTTATTACATACACGTCCAATTCATTTAGTGGGAGAGGTAGGAGAGGATACTGTTACCCTTAGAAAACTACTAAGTAACATCACTTTTCCCAACTGTAATTTTTGTCAACTGATTGTGGACTTCCAGCAGTCTTGTGAAAAAGAAACACCTGTTTTCTATGCCATCACAAGCTGTATGGCTTCTCTTGGGTACCTCTCTATTGACTTGGCTTTGGCTGGCAGAATTAGGCTCTGACACCCTGCGGAGTGGAGCAGTGGCTGGTGACAACTACTCATCAGTGTAGATCTGATGGCAGCAGATTTCCTTGCTCTGAGAGTCCACATGTAATCTATTTATGACTCCAACAGATGTTTCTTCTGGTTTAGGCCAGTGGAAACCTTCTGGTCTATATTTATAACCAACACTTCACAGCCTTCCCCAACTCCTTCTCCTGAGGGTAAAGGAAGAAAATCCAAAACTCATCCGCACTCTGTTAGTAGTGTATTGAAACTTTGCTTTGTATGTTCAGCGTTGCCCTCACTAAATCAAAGGCATAGCAGCAGTGTTGATCATGACAAAATGTGGTATATTCTTGATTGGTTTTGTTGTAGCAGCACTGGCAGGCATTGTTTGACATGGTCTTCCAGAGTCTTGTGGCTCTCACGAAACCAAAGGCTGCACCTGGGTTAGGTGAACAACCCCCTTGGTCCCCCCTGTGCAGCTCATCCCCCATGGATGAGAAACCACCTTACAAAGGGACGCTTATGCACTTACTTAGTGGGGTCCAGCCAGCAGCAGAAATACATCAAAGGTAATCTTAAAGGAACCTTTCTTTGCGGCTTTGTCTTTTAATATTCTGAAAGGTCATTTGTGAATCAACTGTGCCAAAAAAGGCCTTTCCCCAGAAGTTTACTGTTGTTATTTTTTACTTTTTGATTACAGTAACTTGCTTATCCCCCAAACAGACTAAAGAACAATAAACAAATACAAAAGGAAAAGGAACAGCTCATCAATAACAAAGCCCTACGTTTTAAAGCTTTGAGTGTAGTGACTCTTACATCTCACTCCAAGCAAAGCAGGAGTCCTGCAGAGAAAGGAATCTAAAAGATACGAAAATTATAAAGATAGTAAAAACAATGTTTGTAAGGGATATTTTAACGTGGTATGGAGAACTCAGCTTAAAGTGCAGTCAACTGAGGAACATGGCTTTCACCCACTTATGTTGTAGAGTTTGTAGGGAATACTCTATTTCAGTCCTCATGAAATGCTGTAACCTAGATGAATGTGGAAGGTCTAGCTTTCACTTTAAGTTTAAATTTTGTAATTGGGCAGCTCAGAAGTGTTATATATGGCTTAAAAACTAAATGGCATCTAAACCTAATCCTTTGAAATCATATCAAAACAGTCTCTTACAAGAGGTAACGATACAGACCACAAATCTAACTTATTTCTGTGTTCTTCCTTTTTTCCTTTTTTAAAATTTTTTATTTTATTTTCAAACTCTGAGTACAAAGACGACACTAACCATGGATACTGAAACTGTGCAATTTGGTGTAATTATATTCCCCCCCATAGATTTAATGAAGGACTTTTAAGTACAATTTATCTCTGATAAATAGTCCCTCTGCACAGAATGTTTATTAGATTGACAGCAGAATACACTCTGCAAGCTTTTTTTCCTTGCCACTTATGACTCAGATGAATTTTAATAGGAGTAAAAAGCTTTTATTTGCACAGTAATTTCACTTAAGGATCATATCCTTCAGAAGCTGGCAGACACTTGTATGTCTTGATTGCAAAACAGACACTCAAGAATAAAGAAACATGCATAAGATGTTATTATTTGACTTGTCACACTGCTGCAATTCTGTTTGCAACTTCTGTCATCAAATCTCCTATAGGCATCACCTCCCCTCTCCCCACAGCGTCCATGCAAGTGTGCATACATGCACGTGTATCACACACATGTGCTTTACTTTTAGAAAAAGCAACTGCAAAGAGCCTACCATATTGAATGTAGTTGCTTATGCAGGCAGAGCTGTATTTGGGGTTGGAAAATGTGAGTGCCACAGTCTTAATTGTCATGATGATGCCTGCAGGAGGCTTGGGAGTTAAAGAAGCTTTTCGCATACAAAATGGTGCTGGTTCCCCTCTGCCACATCAATTGTAACTAAGGCATGTGTTTGGGAATAGGTTCTGAAATCTTTGGGTGCCACTTACAGCTTCAGGGGATGTTGTTGTGGTGTTTTATTAGTTTACTGGGGTGGTGGTGGGGGATCAGTTCATTTAACCATTTGCTTGTGTATCTGATTAGAAGCAAGTATTTCTAAGCGAATGGCTGCACTGTTCATTGCACATAATCTTGTGTGTCCACACGCCATTTATAGAGGATGATAATCCTCTGTTACATTGTTTTAATTTGGCTTTGAAAGCTGCTCTTTAAAGATGTCATTACAGAGTTAATCACCTTTTGCATGTATTTCTAAATACCTTGTTCTACTCTCTACAGAAGCAGAAGGTAGAGTCCCCCTTTACCTTCACCATAAGGATATCGGATTTTTTCTGTCTGTGTAAAACTGAAAAGTAAAGACATTTTATTGTTAATAAAACAATAGCTAATTGTTTTGGAGGAAAACATACTGTGCAAAGCAAGGTGTTGAACTTTACATCAGCAAAATGCGCATTTGAATTGTAAATGCAGTTCATCCAGTGCTTATTATTAAAACCTTTGTTTAAATTATTGATGAAGTGTGGTGCTGGTCCTCACTCGTTGGCCTTGGTGAGCCGGGAGTTTCACGCAGAGACCTGCTGCCATCTACTGGCTTTTTGCATTCATTTTCTGCGCTGGGACAAATGGGAAGGCCATCTGTCTAAGTGCAGCGAATTATCTGTCAAAGTGATTACAAGTTTGTAAAAACTAAAAGCCTGGAGCTGAAATTAGTGTACACGCACATATGTGTCTTCAGAAAGGTTTTGTTTAAAGGGGTGCTCTCAGACACCCGAGGGTCACTATACTCGCTTCCATTTGTAATTCTTATAAAACATCCTAGAGAAAACATTCTTTTTTTGTTGTTGTTGTTTTGGGTTTTTTTTTTGTTCGTTTGTTTGTTTCTTTCAAGGTAGATAACAGCTGCTGAACAGTTTTTATTGCAGAAAAAGTATATTCATTACAACCACAATGTTCCATCATTCTGCCTGTGCATGAAAAAATGGAGTTGAAATTGTTTAATATATTTTGATCACAAAATCTAAGCAAGTTATGAACTTCAAACATTAAATAAAAGTAAACACAATGTTTAAAATCAATCATGTCATTGAAAATCCAGCCAACTTGCCCAAAAGCTCGATTTCCAGTTCAGCACAGCTCTGGAAACGAATCCCTCAGTACTTCTTATCCTCTAAAGGTCATGTGTCGCAAGCGTAATGATATTTCTGGTTTTTAAATGTGTATCTTCCTTTTCTATCCCCAGTTTTTAAATGAAGCTGACATTTCTTTACTTGATTCTTTCCATCTATGTGCTCGTTGCTGCACGTTGGGGTTGCATATTTTTCTTTCTATGTCCTGAAAATGAAACTCTGAATAAAGATTTCAGATAGTGATTTTTAGACAACAGATGTATTATATAAAAACATGCCATAAAATAGTGGAGATTGTTGACTGGAATTCACCAAGGTGCAGTTTTCTAAAACGTTCCTCTTCCTATTCTTTAGTACAAATTACAAATACTGACAAAGGTTGCTGCAGAGCTGAGCAAGTACATGCCAGAGAAAGCAGCAGAGGACACCTCCAGCATTCTGAGATCTCCCATGCCTGGAGCAGTGGTGGCAGTTTCTGTCAAGCCTGGGGACACGGTAAGAAATGTGATCTATATATCTGCATTTTCATTACATATTCCACACAAACTTCTCCTTGGTGCCACTGAAATGACAGGTCACAGGTTGGAGGGTTTTTTTCACCTGTAGAATAATGTGTGCTGAAGGATGTGTGCTAGTTGTCATTTGAATTACAAAAACTAATAAGGAAGCACAGTTCAAATTAAACTGGCTTTAAAAAACTTTTTCAGCTGGGTACAAGTCCACAGCTGAAATGCAACAAATAGCTTGGTTTTGCATCACAAACCGGGGGGTGGGTGTGTGTGTGGAATTTGTGTGTGTTTGCATATGTGCATGTAACTATACGTAAGTCTATATATGCTGTTAGTGCTAGCAGGAGAGGAATGTTGATTTTCTGCCCTGAAGCAATGATGATATTACTAAACACAAGGGATATGGGAGAGATATTTAACTCCTTTGTCAATTCCCGCCCCCCCCCTTTTTTTTTGTGTTTAGAATCCCTATGTTAGCATTTTGCAAGACACATGAATTTCCTGCATTGGGAATTCACAGTCTTTTATGGGAATCCTCTTGCCCTGCAGAAGGAGTAAACTTGACATACAGAAGAGCAACAGAACACATTGTTGCTGTCCTGGGGATTTCCAGTGTTTCTTACCTCACATTGAGCTGGAAACAGATGCAAATACAGTGTGTTAGAATTACATATAAACACTTACTTGAACTCAGTTTTAGATTAAATTTTACCACGTTGTATCATATGTTATTTCTAAGGTCAAGGCCTTATCCCTCCTAACGACTGAAAGCAATAGGGTGATGCAGAAGCAGAAATATTTAAATCATTTTGTGTAGATTGATTTTAAAGTGTTATTGTCAGTTAAATGATATCATAAGTGTGTATGTAGCACTTACTTAGATACAAACAGAAAGCTTTAGTCACAGAGTTCGTAATTTATGGCAATGAAACATAGATTTTCTTGAAAGATGATTTAGAAATAGGATCAAGATCTCAAGTCCAGAATTAGCACTGCACTTACTATGTGGTGGTCATCAATTGTGCTGGTAAAGTGATTGTTTGCTTACATTTTGGCTACTTTTGGTTTTAGACTATATGATTGTTTCTGCCTGTTTAGAGAGAGAAGGGAGTCACCATGTTAATGTTAAAGATCTGTAGGTGTAAATGTTTGTATTAATGAAATACAAACATTTCCTGCCTTTTCTGAGGAAAGAGAAGTAAGTACAGCTGAGTAAAAAATAGCAAGAGAAATTCTTTTAGCTTCTGCATTTAGTTTTCTGGGTTTGTGATCTATACATGCATGCACACACACACTGTTTATACCTTAAAAACTAGCAATGTTCAATTAAAATTAATCACAATGTCTTCCCATGCACAGAGGAATGTGTGATTTCTGTCTCGGCAGTATGAGTGACCAGTGAAGGAGATACTTGGAGATTAAGGAGATTAAGCAAATACTTCTTTTTGCGAAGAACGGAAACATTTTTAAGGCATGGATTTTGAACCTCTTTTAATTTAAGTTTTTTTTTTTGAGAAGTTAATTCTGCTAAATGTTACCAGTCTTCTTGCCCTTACTTCTCCTTGTCTTGAAGGAATACAATCAGTGGAAAAGGAGGCCAGAGCCGAAGGGATTTTAAGTAAATAAATAAATGAACCTCCCTCCACAAATCCACAAGTGGTGCAGTGCATCAGAGCACAAGTTGTTAAATAATGTGTGGAGATTTTTTTCTTCCTCATCTCATCTCCTCGTCTGCAGCTTTTTGCTGGAGGCACTGAGTGGCAGAGCATTTGAACGGCATAATCTATGTTCTGCTGACCTGAGCTTGTCAATGCTAATTGTGTGGCTTTAACTGCAAAAACACATTTGCGTTATTGAAAAGGGTTTAACTTCAATCTGTCCTTTTCAGGACTACTGTCAAAACGTAAAAAAAAAGCGAGCCAGTGAGCTAGATGAGGGTAGCATCAGCTATCGGCACTGAATAAGCAGTGGGATGGTGTGATTCAGATTACACGTCTTGGCTGTCCGTCAGAAACCAGCTCACTCACTACAGCTGTTCAAGGCATGATGGGCAGAGAACTGCAGCTCCCTGATAAATACAGCTCTTTTTGTTGCACTGCTTGAGAAAAGTCCGATTTCTTTAGTATACTTGAGAAATGGGAATCTAAGTAGCTCCCAGTCTGCAGCTGGGTTTGGCAGCTCGAATTTGCAGTGTGTGAAAACAGCACATCTGAAAAATGGGAGAGCATGAGGTAGTTGTCCATCCTTCAGGTGTTGCTGTTGCTAGCAATAAAGCTGCCTGGTTATTAGCTACTCTGAGATTGGTTTCTCCTAACCTATAATCTATGCTACATAGTGTTAGGGCAGCAGTTACTGCAACAGTGCTGCGCTCACAGAGAGATGGTCTCAAGTGGTCAGCAGCACAGGGAGCTGGGCTGCCGTACCCCTACTTCATGTGTAACTTTACAAATACTGAAGAAACACCTGGAGAGGGACATTTCTTTGTCTGAATGGCCTCACTCACAAACTCGCGTGTATTGCCTGTGGTTCAGTTATAGGGCATCACGCCTAGTCAGGTAAAATGTATGATGTTTGTTAATGTCTTCCTGTGTGCCTTTAGCCAAATGAGAAGGCAATGCTGATCTCTGTGTTTCCCCCACTCTATGTGTCACTGTTTTCCCTTGAAGCACAATGTTCTCATTTGGCTGCTGTTGTTGAAAAATACTTTGGTCTGATGAGCCCTGTAGAAGATTGGGTGAGCATCCTCTATCCAGCTGGTCTGATGAGCAGTTTTCAATTAATTTTTGCCAAAAGATACTGCATATGCAAGGAATTTATTTTCTTTTGTCTATAAGATGATCTATGGATTTTAGTAACACAGTGGGGAAGTGCTCTTTGTCACTTAGAGAGAAGCAGAACTTGTGATGCTGCCAATTTTTTAGCTTTTTAGTTACTTTCTACTTTCTTTATTTTCCTTCATGTGATCAGAAGACTGTAATTAGTTGTCACTCAATTATTCTTGGAAACACAATGAAGGCACTTAGAAGCAGAAAGCAACATAAACAACAAAACAATTTGAAATCTGACTGACTGGGAAGATGGTTCATTGGGAAAGAAGATTTAAATCTAGCCTACTTTCCTCACAGTCACATTATACACGAAATACCCATTTTGGGGTGCAAGGGTGTTTGCATATTTATTTTGTAAGTAGATTGTTAATGATGAGTGTGCATTAGGATGAAATTCAGTTTTAGGAGAGTTACTTTTTGGTTTCCCATGGTGCCAAGGGCCACAGAAACCACTGGGATTGAAGTCCAGACAAGGGATTCACTCTGTTTTGGCTGACACTGATGATAGCACAAGCCTGCACTGATAGTGCACAGCAGTATTTTTATGCTGGAATATGGAGCTTGAACTGCGCACAGTTTTAATCTCACCACGACTACCACAAATATAGCACCATAAAAACTACTAGAGCTGCACAAATTCACTGCTTTGCTTAGAGGGCAGGAAATGGGCAGGCACTTTCAAAGATTTCTTCTTTGTCTTGAGTTGCTTGGCTTGATTTTTTTGCATGTAGCATTCAGTGCATTGAAATTGCAGGGGAAGGGAAAGCCCAAGGTCCTAATGGTCAAACAGGTAAAGCAGTGTTGTTGTATCCCTTTTAAAAGAAGCAACCTGAAGTGCTTCCACAGCTGATTCCAACTTTGGTAGTCTGAACTGTCCACAACAACAAAAAAAGATCTGAACTATCTTTATTGCCTTGTAGCCTTTGCTATATTTTCACCTAAGAATATAGTTTTTGCTTTTTCAGTTTTCTGTCAGAAATGCAAAGATTTTTTCTTCTAGTTGTATGCTTCTCTTTGTTGTTTTTCTTTTTTCTTTTTTTTATTAAATTAAGCAGAACAGGTGGCATTACTAAGCCAGGCATTGGTCAATAAGCTAACACCAGCGCTGGTAGCCTAAATCACTTTAATGATTCCTCCCATCCATAGATATGTAAAAGGAATACACATCTGGTTAAACACCCCAGCATTACTGAATCACTGTAGGAGTATGGCAAAAAGAAGAGGACAGTTAATTATTTTGACCTAGGCTTCTATATTTCCTCTCTTCTTTCCAGTAATTCGAGATTACCCCAGGTTTTGGAAGTTACCACCATTCAAACTACTCTTTAAATGGACTTTTCTCATATGAAAATTTCTTAGGTTTGAAATTGATGCTAGAGTAGTCATGGGTATTGATGCTGCATGGGATGTTTATCTCTATCAAGATGTCAGCTGCTATATGCTAATTATGTCAGTAATTTAAAAAACGTGTAACCTGAAGGCTGCTTTTTCACGTGTATAACATCCAAAGCACATTGCTCTCAGTGAGTCCACATTTTAAAAAACAGAGGAAGAGGTTTTAAGCTGCATTTCAGTTCTTTTAAACTGCGTTCCTCTTCCAGTTCAATCACATGCGCGTTGTTTTAATTTCTCTTGTTATTCTTCAGAGGAATAGTTTAAAAAAAAATAAAAACCTTTCTCCACAATTTTCCGTTTCACAAGCCTTGGAAAGTTCTTGCTATGGGAAGAGATATGTTTTGCTTGACCTCTACTGCTGAAATACTCACTACTAAAAACCAAAACAAACCAGCTTCCTAAGTTCTGTTTCTCACTGCATCGTTTACTCTTTTGAAAGGGGAAGTGAAGTGGAATTATAAAGCTACCATTGCTGTCAGCCAGTTGTGTGTTTTAAATCACATTTACCTTTCAGACCTCAAAATCTAAAAAGAAAAAAAAAAAAATCTTTCTTACCTTATACTGGTTGGAATTTGTAACAGAGCAATAACAACCAGGAAAAGCAGTGAAAATGCATTTGCTTAAGTAACAGTTTCACATTTTATTTAGAAACATATAGTATTGATAATTCAGTAAGACATTATTAAATCCCAATAAGATTTTTGTCTTGTGTGAACCTTTTTTTTCTTTTGTTTTTGATTTTCCTGTTTTCTTTCCCTCTACC